CCTCCTTTCAGGTACTTGTACAGAGCAATAAGGTCTCCCCTCAGTCTCCTCTTCCCCAGACTGAACACCCCCAGCTCCCTCAGCCTCTCCTCGTAAGACTTGTGCTCCAGACCCCTCACCAGCTTTGTTGCCCTTCTCTGGACCTGCTCCAGCACCTCAATGTCCCTCTTGTGGTAGGGGGCCCAAAACTGGACACAGTACTCCCGTTTTGTTCAAAGGACATCTCTGTGCCCAGTCCTTTCTAAGGAAGCTCTACCACCATACATAAGCACTACGTGTGAAAACAGTTTAGGGGAGCAATACCTGCTCCCAGCTTAGGAACATGCAGTTATTATCATAGCTGTCTTCCCCTCTTGGGGCTACAATGCCAAGTCATCCTAAGGATAACAGCCCCCCAACCTTCCCCCATTCCCTTGGCACCTCCTACCACAGAGCCCAGGTTAGAAATTAAGGAAAGCACATGTAGGTGTCATGTTAGGGCACCGCTTTTCACGTACCTTCTCCTTTGATCTTGTGGGGGTACCCAATCACGGCGGTCTCGGGGACCTCAGGGTGATCAGCCTTCGCAAAGAGTGAAAGAAAAACACACAGAGAATAACAACGGCTTCGAGCCCCGCAGAGTTTGTGCCAGTTGATCTAGGAACAAAAGCCCCTTGCCATCTCCCACCCTCCCCTTGGCAGATCCTACTGAAAAAACAACAGGGAAACCAAATGCCACCTTCCCACTGCATGGTCAGCTGGTGGCCACGGGCATCGCCAGTTCTTGGGGAGGAGCACTTACTTACTGGATTGGTGCTGCTTTGAAGCATACAAATAAGTACTTTTACTGCTAAGCCCGCTGCATGCCAAGCTGAATTTGCACCAGCTGGCAACCTGCTTTCTCTTTCTTTCTTTCTTTGGGCCCTTGTGTGTGCACCACGGTCCCAAGTATTGGCTGGCCACGGCCAAATCACAAGCAAAACCAGCCCCGCGTTGCTCTGTGCCACGGGGAACCGTTGCCAACATCATGGTCCACATCTGACTGGTGTTTAATAAGCGCCCAAATCACGCCAGAAGCCAGAAAGATCAGGCTTCTTCATCTTCCCAGAAGGGGAAAAGGGCTCTTTTGCTGAATGCTTTATTAGTATTATTATTATTATGCTACACAACAGTGATTTATTCTGTCACATTTCAGAGTTTAATTTAACATCCTTCTGCAGCAAGAAGACAATTTGGGTGTACAGACCGGAAGAAATCCCATATCTGAATCCGACACCAAAGACTGGATTATACTATTTTAAATTAGATTGAAATAGGAAAGGATATATCAGAGAGTAATCTAACCATATAAATATATTTGCATAAACACATGCATACACGTACATAGAATGGGAGGGAACCGGATCCTGTATCTACAATCACAAACTCACACATATTAAAAAATCACTCACAGAGGAGAAAGCAGGATCCCATGTGCCAAGGGACACAGCTCAGGTTTATCAGATGTTGCATTTAAGTGCTGTTTGCAGGCAAGGCACACAATACAGAAATAAATATTCAGGTCAAGCTAGGGAGATAAATGCTCTGAGGACGTTCTGTTTTCAATTCCCTGAGCTAATATCATTTTCTCTCGAAATAACAGGCTAGCTTTGCAGCTGACACACATCAAGGTGGCTTCATATTTAACACTGATGAACTCTCAAGCATACCCCGGCTTGGCTTCGGACAAGCAAGAACCACGGGTGTGGGAAGGAGAGGTCAGGTGTTAACAGAGGGAAGGAACAAACAGGAGAGACAATCCCTTACAGAGACCCCACCGGCAGCCAAGGTGACAACTGCAACAGTGGAACATCACTGCGAGGAAACACGGCTCCGACAGTTCAACTGGAGGAACCATCCACGGTGTGATTCCTCTCTCACTTGCCTGTTCGTTGTCTCCTTAATAAGGGAGCTGTTTCCTTTTGCACATTTGCTACTCATTACCCATCAAGCTGGGTGTAGGCAGGGGTTTGAAGGCAAGTGACCCTGTGCTTGTTGAAACTCATAAAACTTCTTCGAAAGAGTCACCCTGCACCCACGGATAAACCCTGTCAAGGGACCTGAGAAGGCTGAGAAGAACCTAATGAGGTTCAACAAGGACAAATGTAGGATCCTGCACCTGCAGAGGAAGAACCCCAGGCAGCAATACAGGTTAGGGATGGATCTTCTGGGAAGCACTACTGAGGAGAAAGATCTGGGAGTCCTGGTAGATAGCACACTTTCCATGTGCCAGCACTGTGCCCTTGTGGCCAAGAGGCCAATGGGATCCTGGGCTGCATAGGGAAGAGTGTGGCCAGGAGGTGGAGGGAGGTCATTCTCCCCCTCTGCTCTGCACTGGGGAGGCCACAACTGGAATCCTGCGTCCAGTTCTGGGCTCCCCAGTTCAAGAGGGACAGGGAACTGCTGGAGAGAGTCCAGCAAAGGGCAACAAAGATGATTAAGGGATTGGAGCACCTCCCTTACAAGGAAACGCTCAAGGAGCTGGGACTCTTTAGCCTGGACACGCGAAGACTGAGGGGAGACCTTATTTTTGTTTATAAGTGTCTAAAGGGTGGGTTGAGGGAGGATGGAGCTGGACTCAGTCGTTTCCAGTGATAGGACAAGGGGCAACGGGCACAAGCTGGACCATGGGAAGTTCCACTCCAATCTGAGGAAGAACTTCTTTGGGGTGAGGGTGGCAGAGCCCTGGCAGAGGCTGCCCAGGGAGGGTGTGGAGTCCCCTTCTCTGGAGATCTTCAAGCCCCGCCTGGATGCCATCCTGAGTGATGTGCTCTGGGCAACCCTGCTTTGGCAGGGGACTTGGACCAGATGATCTCTAGAAGGTCCCTTCCAACTCTGACAATTCCATGATTCCATGACCTCCACCTGCTTGGAACTTACCATCGCGTCTTCTATCTCTGCTGTCCCGAGCCTGTGTCCGCTGATGTTAATGACATCATCCATGCGCCCTGTTATCTGGTAATAGCCTTCCTTGGTCCTGTAAGCACCATCCCCCGTGAAGTAGTAACCTACAGTGAAAAGACAGGCGGGTGGTCAGCAGCAGGAACAGGCCAGCCCTTATGGCTTTGGGATGTGGCTCCAGGAGGGCGAGCAGGGTATGGAGGACCAGGCAGCTGGCAGGCAATCAGCGGCAACCGGCGGCTAGTGTCTCCCTGTAGTAAAAGCAAGTCCAGGAACAACAACACGGCGATGCTTTGTTGGGTTTACAAAACCAAGGCGGGGAGGTTCTCTGATCTCCCAAGGCTTTACATGCCTACAGCTGCAGAGCAACTGCGTGCTCAGGCCTGGTGCAGATAGCACTAAGATGGGCATGTTTAGTTTGGAGAAGAGGAGGCGGAAGGGGAGACCTCATTGCCCTCTACAACTCCCTGGAAGGAGGTTGCAGAGCGGTGGGGGTTGGTCTCTTCTTCCAAAGGAATAATGACAGGACCAGAGGAAATGGTCTGAAGTTGGGGCAGGGGAGGGTTAGATGAGATATTAGGAAGAATGACTTTCCTGAGAGGGTGGTCAGGCACTGGAAGAGCCTGCCCAGGGAGGTGGTGGAGTCACCATCCCTGGAGGTATTTAAGAAACGTGTAGATGTGGCACTTCAGGGCATGTTCTAGTGCCTGAGATTGTTGGGTTGTGTCTGTCTGTGGTTTGTTTGGGTAGGTTTTTTGTTTGTTTTTGTGGTTGGACTCCATGATCTCAAAGGTCCCTTCCATCCATGAGGATTCTGTGATCTGAAGATACAACCACTTCATATGCCTTTTGCCATCATGCTAGCTACACCTCAGCCCTCATGGAAAACTACAACTGTGCAGCTGAAAGGGAGCAGTTCTGTTACATTTTGTACAAGGGAACACCGCCAATTTTTCTAATCACTTACACTGGGATGGATGAAAAGGCATTTTCTTTCCTGGCTAACAAAGATTCAGACCCCAGATTAACAGTCGCTCTCCGGCACGTGAGCATGGCAGAAATACTGCTATCAGATCAGTTGGAAAAAAAAACCCCTCCATGATAAGCATGGTGTTTGGAGGATCTAAAACATTCGATACAAACTAAAAAAAAAAAAAAAGACAACTCGTAGTTCCAGGAAACTCCAGTGTCACTGAGGACACATCTGGTGACACAGACTGTGTTGGCTCTTCATCAAAGCCATATCCGCATCTGAATTGTTCCTGTGGCACTTCTGAGCAGCAGCAGGCAGCTAGTGCTGTGAAATATGAAGGTGGTTCTTGCCAGGGCCCATTATTGGCCAATTCATAGACTTTCAGTCATGCCTCCTGCCCTTCCAAATCAATGAAATAACCACCAACTAAATATCAACAAGATTTTAGATGGGAACATGTAGTGAGTAATAAGGGACTGTGCACTCATTCAGCTTCTACCAGATTCCCATTCTTATTTTCCAACCCATTTTGTACAATTTGCAGAACTGTCTCTCTTAATTCTTGTCTACCTTGGAGTTTTCAAACCCTCTTCAGTTGCTCCCCTGAGTAAAAACAATGGTCTTGTCCAATCTCCTACTAAAAACACTTCCCTGCCACTTCTGATTACTTGCCAGATGCAACTTGGCCATCCTTCTAAAAAGGACGGATGTAACACAGCCTGTGACAGCAGGGGTGAGGTTCAGTGAGGCGGGAGGTCCCTTCCCATTCAATGTGCCTATTTCCAAGTGAGGGCCACACAAATGGCCCCGAAGAAAAGGTATTTGGACTTCAAAAATACACTCCCCTTTTGACAGCTAGAAAGGTCAACGCTATGTCCTGGTTTGAGGTAAAACAGAACTAATTTTTCTGTTCAGTAATTTTACTTTTTGAGCTAGGCCTCTTCTGACTAACTAAACTCTGAAATTAACAGCATATTGTTCAGAAACTGTTCACTCTCACAGTGGTAAGACCTGATTATACCAAGGAATGGTGTGCAGAGAGGCCCCTGCTTATACTTATTGCTATAACAACCAAGGGCAGGTAAATTTGTTATTTGCCCTGTTGGAGGGTCGGAAGCGGAAAAGCGTCGAGGGGTCCCACCTGTAGGGAGGAACGGACAGGACAGGTGACCCAAAACTGACCAACAGGGTATTCCATCCCATCTGCATCATGCTCAGTATAAAAGCTGAGGGATCAAAGGGTCAACCCTCTTCCTTCAATGGCCGACGTCCGAGGAGGACCCTGTCTGTTCGTCTGCCTTTGATCCCGATCCGAGCGTTCCTGACTCCAGATCTGGAATCCAGCTCCTGTCCATCACCGAGTCCAGCCTGGGACTTTCCGGTGACGTGATCGTCATCCTGGGAGCTTGATACGGTTTTGTATATACTGTATACATTTGTATTTTATTTTACTTTTTTTTCCTCTTTCCTTTTTTTTCTTATTTCATTATTTATTTATATTTTTATTAAAGTAGTTTAGTCTTTTTCTAAACTCATAGGTTTTTTTATCCCCCTCTTCCTCTCCTCTCTTTTCCTTAGGGGGGGGAGGGGAGGGGCCATCTGTCGTTCTGGTTGGTCAATTCGGTCAAAACCACGACAGACCATTAGCTTGCAACACATCACCCACAACCCCAAGCAGCCAAGATCTGGCTGGTACAGAAGTAACACAAAGTGCTGCACAAAAACACTCCGTGGGTTTCTACTGCAGTGCAAACTGCCTTCCCTTGGTGCTCCCCTTACCTGGGTAGGCTTTGAAATAGGCGTCGACAAACCGTTGGTGATCTCCATAGATTGTTCTCGCCATGCCAGGCCAGGGCTGGGCAATGCAGAGCGCACCGGACACATCGTTGCCCTCTATTACCTTCCCCTGCGGGTTGAAGGACAGGAAGGATGATGAGGTGAAGAAATTAGGAATAGTAAGGGCTTCTGGGTCACTGATGTGGCCCCCAGGTGGAGAAAATGAATTCACTCATTCACTCTGTCTGTGTCCTGCCTTCCTCGAGGCCAGCGGCACAACGGGTAAGGCTAAAAGAAAAGCAAGTCCAGTGATTCTTCAGAAGGCGATGCCAGCAAAGAGGGCAGCAGAGATGTGCCAAGTGGCCAGAGGATGCCAGAAGATGCGGCTAGCAGGAGAACACCTGCCCCCCTGCCTGCCACTTTCCCTTCTGCTAGCTGCCACCTCCCCTTACCAAACTGTACAGGGAGAAGATCATAGAATCATAGAATTTCCCAGGCCGGAAGGGACCTCCAAAGGCCATCTAGTCCGACCTCCCTGCAGTCAGCAGGGACACCCCCAACTAGACCAGGGTGCCCAGGGCCTCGTCGAGCCTCTCCTTGAATATCTCCAGGGATGGGGCCTCAACCACCTCCCTGGGCAACCTGTTCCAGTGCTCCACTACCCTCACAGTAAACAACTCCCTTCTAATCTCCAATCTAAATCTGTTCCCCTCCAGCTTGAAGCCATTTCCCCTCGTCCTGTCACTACAGGCCTTTCTAAACAGGCTCTCCCCAGCCTTCCTGTAGGCTCCCTTCAGGTACTGGAAGGCTTTACTGTTTAACGGAGCACCGGAGCGCAGATGGAGATCGCTCGCGCAGCGTCACGGACCAACACTGGTTTTCTCACCGACATGCACAGTTGCAGGGCCTCATGCCTTGCATTTCCCTTGGCAAACTCCACCAGTCCTGTCCGGCTGCTCCAAGTCTTGCCACGTCACTGGACATCGTATCCAACTGTTCAGCCCCCCCCTGGTTCCCAGGAGCCGTGTGACTTCTGACTTCCCTCACAAACGGAGGCGGCAGCTCTTAACCAGAAGCAGTGTAAGACCATAAAAAGTGGTGCTGAAAATGCAAACGCTCCTCTAGAGGTTTGCAGACAGCTTACAATGCCCAGCTGGCAATCTGCACGGACATCTGAGATGAGAAAACTCAAGATGAGCTGGTGGTGCATGCTGGCAGCCCAGAAAGCCAACCGCATCTTGGGCTGCATCAAGAGAAGCATGACCAGCAGGGCCAGGGAGGGGGTTCTACCCCTCTGCTCTGTGCTCATGAGACTCCACCTGGAGCTCTGTGTCCAGCTCTGGAGTCCTCAGCACAGGAAGGACATGGACCTGTTGGAACGGGTCCAGCAAAGGGCCACGAAGATGCTCAGAGCGCTGGAGCACCTCTGCTGTGAAGACAGGCTGAGAGAGCTGGGGTTGTTCAGCCTGGAGAAGAGAAGGCTCCAGGGAGACCTTCGAGCAGCCTTCCAATATCTGAAGGGAGCTCCAGGAGAGCTGGGGAGGGACTCTTTGTCAGGGAGTGGAGTGACAGGACAAGGGGGAACGGTTTGAAATTAGAAGAGAGGAGATTTAGATTAGGTATCAGGAAGAAATTCTTTCCTGTGAGGGTGGTGAGACACTGGAAGAGGTTGCCCAGAGAAGCTGTGGCTGCCCCATCCCTGGAGGGGTTCAAGGCCAGGTTGGATGGGGCTTGGAGCAACCTGGTCTGGTGGGAGGTGTCCCTGCCCAGGGCAGGGGGGTTGGAGCTTGATGATCTTTAAGGTCCCTTCCAACTCTAACCATTCTATGATTCTATATGCTTGATATATAAACTGCTCATCTATTCTACCATTTTAACAGAGGAACAAACATCTTTCCAGATCCTGCTCCTCTGCCATCAGAAGGTGACTAAGGCTGAAGCACACCCCAGCTTCTCTTTTGGGCACCCAGCACAGCCTCAACTCACATTATCATCCATCAGCACGGGCACAATCCCAAAGAAAGGTCTCATAGCCATAGCCGGAACGATCTCAGCTTTCTCCTCGGAAGGCCGTGGGGCAATGCAGATGCCACCAGTCTCTGGAAGAATAATGAAAAACAAAATATGTAGGGCCCATCCATCACGCTGGATGAGAGCAAATGCCAGCTCTTCTAAGTTAATAGCGAAGCCACCTTGCGAGGAAAGGCAACTGGGAAGGAATGATGCAACCACGTATCACAGCCATCTGAAAGCAGCCCAGACCTGATAAACCAAGAGCTCTTTGTGAATGCAAGTAAAGCTTAAGCATAGAAAAATGTTCTGGCGGGCCAGGATGATGCCACCAAGGCTCGTTCTGTCTACAGGGGGGACATTGCAGCAGGTGGAGAGCCGGGGAGAGCTGCAGGCAGGTCTCCCCTTGGTGAGCTTGGACTGAGAGCTGCTCCTACTCCCTGTTTGCTTGGTGCCTCCTTTATTCAGCGCTGGCTGCAAAAATCACTGCACCCCTGTGTACGCCAGTGACAAACCCCAGTGTGTGGCCAAGCAACCGCCACGGGGGGAAGAGCAGCTCGCCATCCCCCAGAGCATCAGGGTGGCTCAGAGGAGAGCAGCACTGGGTTCTACAGCCACTTGGCTTGACACCAGACAGCCTGGGGACCCTGCAGCCACCGTGTCTGCCTTCACCATCCTCCCTGCAGTCAGTCAATCCATGGCAGATGAACCAGGCACAAGGAAGACCCCATTGACGCTGCCCACATGCTCCATTCCCTACATCTCACTCTGCCTCAGATAAACCCACGCCTTCAGCTACCAACCAGCAAGGGATATGGGCAGCTCTAAGGTATGTTGACACCCTTGCAGGTCCTTCTCACGCTGCCTGGTGGCAGGGGCAATACTCACCTGCCCTATTTCCTACCCCAGAAGTGATTTTACAGGGGAAAGTATAAGCATATCAGGGGATTTATCTCCTGGTGCTGTTTTATCAGCTGTCTAAGATGAAAAGCACTTCAGGAGGTTGAATTACTATTATTGCAGAAGTATAAGATTAACCCACCCCTTACAGGTGGGTTGAGCTTATCTTCTATTCAAAATTTAACCTTTTAATCATCCTTTTTCATTCCTGCTGGGATGAGCATTAAATCAGATTCCAACCTTAATCAGATCTTTTCTATTCTACAACTAATTCAGAATCACAAGAGAGAAACAAAAGCAAAGCAGCATTAGGCTTTTCAAAATACAGCTCTATAAATAAAGGTATGTTCTGCCTCTTGGAGAGTGCATTCCTCTACTGGCTTTGCTGAGGTTGTGAAAACTGAAACCAGGGGTTGGAAAGGTTGAATTTGACCCTGAATTTGCATCCAGCAGCCCTGATGTAGCTATAAGGAAGGGTCTCTTTGAGGAACCCTAAGCTTCAAACCTGCAGAAAATAGTTTCACATGTGGCTCACAGATAAAATTATTTCACATTTCGTTGATAGGCATGCATCCCACCTCACATGCTTCTGTTTATTTTGAAAGGGTCATCTTGAATTTTTGCAGAAAAAAAGAAAAAAGCACCCCAGACACCTTGCTGTTCTCTGTTTGCACAGACAAAATCTGCATCAGAGCAGGGAACCTGCACCACTACAGGTTGGGGGCTGACCTACTAGAGAGCACTTCTGAGGAGAAAGACCTAGGAGTCCTGGTGGACAACAGGATGACCATGAACCAACAATGTGCCCTTGTGGCCAAGAAGGCCAAGGGCATCCTGGGGGGCACCAGGAAGAATGTGACCAGCAGGTCAAAAGAGGTCATCCTGCCCCTCTGCTCTGCCCTCGGGAAGTGCCATCTGGAGCACTGGGTCCAGTTCTGGTCTCCCCAGTTCCAGAGGGACAGGGAACTGCTGGAGAGGGGACAGCAGAGGGCTACAAAGATGATTTGGGGACTAGAACATGTGTCATATGAGGAGAGGCTGAGGGACTTGGGTCTTTTTAGTCTGGAGAAGAGAAGGCTGAGGGGGATCTGATCAATGCTTATAAATACTTAAAGGGAGGGTGTCAGGAGGATGGGGCCGGTCTTTTTTCAGTGGTGCCCAGGGACAGGACAAGAGGAAATGGGCACCAACTTGAATAGAAGAAGTTCCACCTAAAGATGAGGAGGAACTTCTTTCCTGTGAGGGTGGCAGAGCCCTGGCAGAGGCTGCCCAGGGAGGTGGTGGAGTCTCCTTCTCTGAAGACATTCAAACCCCACCTGGGCACGTTCCTGTGCAACCTGCTCTGGGTGGACCTGCTTTGGCAGGGGGGTTGGACTAGATGATCTCCAGAGGTCCCTTCCAACCCCACATGATTCTGTGATTCTGTGACCTGATTAAACTGCTGGTTGCTCTTCCTAACCCAGCACTCACTCTGAATACAGCCCTGCAAGCTATGTTTCAACATGGGGTTTGTCACATCCTACGCATCCTGCAGCCAGCTGCCCATAAGGCAGTCAAGTCACATTCCAGAGGGAGCTGCATGGTGGCAAGGGTGCTCTACAAATTGTTTGAATGGTAAAGACCTACTTTAAACTGGTTTAAAAGCACCGATTTTAGCCACTGACAGACGACAGCTAGCAAGAATTCTAGGCCCTGCCCTGCCCTTCTGAAGTCTGTCTCTTCAGAGGCAGAGCTGGCAGAAGAAAAGCCGTGCTTCCACGTGACCTGTGTGCCCCTGCTGTCACCGCAGTGCAAATCCACCCAGATTTTAGGCAAGGACAGTAGAGCGTGAGCAGGGAGGGTGATGGATGGAAACAGGGCCCCCCCTCTGCTGTGGGTCAATCGCCTAGCCTGTGTGTCCCTGCTGTCACCACAGTGCAAATCCACCCAGACTTTAGGCAAGGACAGTAGAGCGTGAGCAGGGAGGGTGATGGATGGAAACAGGCCCCCCCTCTGCTGTGGGTCAATCGCCTACTCTCTGCCACCGGAGTCTCCACCACCACAGATTGGACTGACTGCTCTGGGGAGGAATCCATCCCAGTCTAAATCGTTGTAAAAATGATGCCAACAGCAAAAGCTCCCAGTGCCTCTTCAGAGATGTCTTTCAAAACCAGCCTTTGTTCCCAGCTGCCTACAACAGCTGCACTTTTTTTATGTAAAGCCGACGACAAAAGTAAAACTACCTAGTGACTCTTCTGCACTGTGAAGAACTACACCTGAAACTCAAACTTTGAAACTCAGCTTTGATTCTACTACTGTCAATCACAGCACAACACCACCTAATATTTCAGCAGCAAGACCCAGAGGAATTTTCCACCTCTCTCATCTGCACACACCGCTTCCCATAATTGCTGTCTCACCCATTTGCTCATCCAAAGGCTTTCAAGTGGATTTTTAAATCGCCGTTTTGCTGCTCTTCACGCCTACCAGGCTTTATTAGCTGGCAACACGTTGGTGCTTCAGAGAGCAACGCACCGTAGAGGACACTCTGCATCCAACAGTGCAATTAACAAGCTATACTGAAATTGTCTACGAGGGGTGACACTGCAGGACCCCAACCAGCATCCATCAAACTGTTTCTGTGATCTCTTTCCACGCTCCCTTTACATTCAAACGGAATATATAATGTTTCCAAGATTAATCTGGCTTTCCTCATCATCTGTGGAGGAAGATTGATTCTACTTTCTAACAAAATCAATTTCATGAATATTTATCGTTATATTATGCTTCCAGGAGCTGGTAAATGTTTACCTGCAAAACTACACCTAGCTGAAGGTAAGATAAAGCACTCTGCACTTACAGGCTGTCCAGCAAATGTTCTTCGACCTCTCACCTGACCGCCATTGCTCCAAAAACCCAGGAGAAATACAGTTTAATATAAGATCTAACCCTGTATTTTGGAGGAGACAGGAGGCACTGTATGCACACTCCATGCACCAGTTAACTGAAGAGAAACAAACAAACAAAAAGTTAGGGCAAAAAAAAAAAGATTCTTCTCAACTCCATCACTGTACAGTAATCAACTGCTTCTGCAGAGTGTTTTATTTCAGAGCAGCGAGGAGGAAAGCATTTAGCTCCTACCCAGTCAGCTTTCCTTCTGCTCAGCACATGAGAACCCAGATGGTTTAAGAGATGGGTAATTGAAATAGACGGTAGTTAACATTGCTGCTCTGAATTCTGAGGGTATTTTATTTCAAATCTGAAAATAAAAAGAGAGTCTGCAAGTCTGGTCTGGATTAAATGGAACTTGGTTGTGTGCCAGAAGCTAATTCATCCCATTGAGATGGGCCTCAGGGATCCTGAAGAGACCACCTGCTAGCAGGAATAAGGATGAAATCAGGAGCAACCTGTCTGGAAAGGGAATGAATATTGTGCCCAATGGCAGCTAGAAATTTAAGAGTAGGGTTGGTCTTGTTTTTTCAGCAGAGGCAGAATGCCAGCAGCTCTGCTGTATCCTTTAAGTCCACGGCTCCGTGGCAAACTGTGGTTCGTGACTTCAGAAGGACATATTGCAAGATACCTTTAGCAACTCTCGAATGTTGGTGCCCAGAAGAGAGGACCAGGTGCTGAGTAGTGTGGCCAGCAGGTCGAGGGAGATTATCCTCCTCCTCTACTCTGCCCTGGTGAGGCCCCATCTGGAGCACTGGGTCCAGTTCTGGGCTCCCCAGTTCCAGAAGGACAGGGAACTGCTGGAGAGGGTACAGCAGAGGGCTACAAAGATGATGAGGGGCCTGGAGCATCTCCCTTATGAGGAGAGGCTGAGGGACTTGGGTCTTTTTAGTCTGGAGAAGAGAAGGCTGAGGGGGGATCTGATCAATGCCTATAAATACTTAAAGGGAGGGTGTCAAGAGGATGGGGCCGGTCTTTTTTCAGTGGTGCCCAGGGACAGGACAAGAGGAAATGGGCACCAACTTGAATAGAAGAAGTTCCACCTAAAGATGAGGAGGAACTTCTTTCCTGTGAGGGTGGCAGAGCCCTGGCAGAGGCTGCCCAGGGAGGTGGTGGAGTCTCCTTCTCTGGAGACATTCAAACC